TGCGCGTTGTACTCTTTTTCCCTTCGACTAGGTTTTTGTCCCACTGGGTTTTTCATAGCAAGGTTTTAACGAGGCAACATAAACGCATCCAACACCATATTAATGATCCAAAAGAAAGTTTCACTCTTTTTCCCTTCGCTTCAGCTTTGTCCTATTGGGTTTTCCAAGCAAGGTTTTTAATGAGGGAACTATGTCATTGTATGGTGGACATCCAAGGGGGAGTGTTGTAAATGCATGAGTTGGTGGATGACCACTATACCTCTTAGTATTCAACCGTTGGATTTTATGTAACCTATGCACTAAGTATTTGTAATTAGTGCTTGTAACCTATAGGTATATTGTAAATGATGGTATTCAATCTCCTATCTTGTAAGCCTATAAATAGGTGGTTCTGCGGAAGAATAAACATGGTGAAACTTTATCTTTAGCATATCACTTCTCTCTACATTTTCTCCCTCTAGTTTTATAACATCTATACTATTTTATAAACTTTGAAAATGTCAATTATTCACATTTTAAGTAATTAAAATAAATCTAAATCTAAATTTTAAAATGAGTTATTTACTCCAATGGTTCCTAAATTTTTATCCGAATTTCATTTTGGTATTCCAACTCGGTTTTTAGTTTCTGTCGTCCTCCCTCTATCCCACGCTTTCCAATAATTTAGTCATTTAGTCAAATTTCATAAATTTTTTCTTCTATTCGAGAATCAAAGTGAAACCCAGGTATAAATTTAGAAATCATTGACAGTTAAAAACAACCCTATTAAAATTAAGGGTGTTATAGTAATTATGCCTATTTTATGCATGTGGAGGAGTCTAGTCTACATCCATCTAGGTTCAATTTTCCAATTGGTTAAGCTTCTACGTAACGTTTCCTCTTTTTTCTTTCATTTGTTTATTTATTTTTGATTTGGATGTCAACAGGACTTAGCACTGGCGTTGTCGTCGCTGAGATTTTTCCCTCTCTTTGATGAGGAAATAAAACTCACCAAGGAGAAATATGGGTCGGTTCCTAGAGTATATATCGTGTGCGACCAAGACCTTACCATTGGGGAGGATGTGCAACGGTGGACGATCAAGGAAAATCCTCCACATTAAGTCAAAATGATAAACGGCTCTGATCATATGCTCATGTTCTCCAAACCGCAGGAATTCTTCTCCACCCTCCAAGAGATTTCTGATCAATATTCCTAAACATCGTGAGCACCTGATAAATTATAGCTAGGAGCTTGTCATCATTGTAGATGATGCAGTTATGCTAGCTAGTCTTTCTGACCCACTAAAATTGTGAAAAATAAGATCGCCAATTAGTTGTTGTAATAAATTTCAATATATATACATTCTCTAATAAGTATTTAAGTTAAGGATTAGTTACATATTTCTAATTTCGGTCGGATTGTATCTAAGAGACTACCAGCACATTTAATGAATGCAATCCAATGACCAAAATTAGAAGTATGTTGAAATTGGTACTTAGGTGACGAGGGATAAATTTAAATGTTATTCAAACAGACATAGCAATATTCACACACTTTAAAAACTTGACCAAAGAACACACACACAGAGCATACCAATCTGTACCTGCAAGCCTAGAAGATTACTAGTGACAACCTAGGCACTCAGAAGGACCCGTCAATCTAGGCATCCCCTGTGCTAGCAACAACTATGGTGAAAGTGTGTGAAAGCATCATAATCAAGTAAACAACAAACAGCAGATAATGATGACTAGTCAACCACCAGAACAGAAACCCAGAAATACATGAACATCATGCGATGACTAGTCAACTATCAAGAACACAAACTCATAAAATTGTGAACAAAAACCAGAAAATTGTTTACCCAGAAACCCACCACTGGGAAAAACTGGGGATCATCATCCGACCAGGCAATCCACTAAGCAAAGAAGATTCTTACAGAGAATACACAAGCAAGCTAAAGAAATCCTAGATCTATTTAGGAAACAAGCTATACCTCCTCTGTGCAATCTTCTTCTCCAACTTAGTTAAGCTAGTAGCTAGTTCGTCATGTAAGTGGCAGCTAGTCCATCAGCTCCTTTACTCCATGGCACCGGCGACTCAGCTCCAGATCGAACAAACATAATGAAATATAGATTCTGACATGAAAAGGTCAATTCCTTCAAGAAACCATACTCTTGAAGAAATCAACCAAGAATCTGCTCTGGACTAGGAACGATGACTAGTCATAATGAACCCAGATGACTAGTCATAATGAACCCAGATGTAGACAAAGAAGATGACTAGTCATAACTGAACCCAGATGCAGATTTTCAAAATCATTTTCAAAATCTCACAATGAAAAACCTTAGAGAATGCAGAGTATAAGTTTTACTCTCAAAATTTCTCAATGGGTGAAGTAGATTTCGTAAGTAAAAGCATATTTCAAAAGCTATTTGAAAACCTTATTTGAAAACTCAAACCATACCCAGCTACAAATGCAGAGAAGAAGAAGAAGACCACTCTCTCTCTCTCAAAGATGCAGACCTCATTCTCAGAGAGAAGATGCAGAGCAAAATCAAAACTCTCAAAACCTTTCTCTCTGAAAATGACAGAGACAAAAAAATGCCTCTCAAAAATCAAAACCCATACCTAGTCTCTCACTGGAGCTCCCTCTCTCTCTCTCTCTAGAAATTATATCAGAAATTGTAAATGAGAGAGATTGTGAGTCCAGACCAGCCCCAACCTTTTTGGTAGGTCAGAAGTACACTTGGTAGCCAATGATTGGACTTACAATAAGCAAAATCATGTGCCTTGGTTAAAAATCCCGTGCTGGAAATATTGGCCCATATGACTAGTCATCTCGACAAACCTATATGACTAGTCATCTCGACAAGGTAGCAAATGCTGATTTGGCCTATATGACTAGTCATCTCGACAAAGTATATGGATGCAAATGCTGATTTTCCTATTGATGCCCATTAAAAATGAATGCACAATTACCTTGGTTTTGTAGCCTCATAAGCTCTTCAATGTACTTCAACTTTGTAGCAAATACCCAATGCCTAATTTCTAAAGATGAGCTAAGAGGAATTACATGAAAGAGTACATTTGGCAAGGAAAGCCAATTCTAACAATCTTAAAACTAACATATGTAACCAATTCTTAACAAAAAATACTTATTGGAGAATCTCCCATATCAATATATATATATATATAGCAGTGTGCTATTAATCTCATGTAATCTTTTCTTTCTGGGGAATAATGCTATTTTTTGTTGTTGAGATTGTATGATATCATAGACGAGCCTTTATTTGAGGGAAAAATTAAAAGTGAAATAGTTTGCAGAAATTTCCTCCTAATGATGCACATTTGTAGTTTACCAAACAAATAGAAGTAAAATATTTTGCACAACTCTTTTCCTTGAATCTCTAGCCAACAGCCAACGGGG